AAAATTGATGCTTGAGGGGACGGTGCCATGGATTGGAAGCTTCATTGTCGCTTAGACATCAAACCGTATTAGGAATCAGCTGAATGGATTCAACAAGTAGTGCTTTCAGCTATGCACTCGACTTATCGCTGGAGAATGGGGGGGGGGGCATTACAAGAGTTTTGAGGTTTTTCCCTCGAAAACAAGTCCATTAGCAAGCTCTCTTCCATATTTCAAGCATGCCTTCGAATGTCGCGGATAAATGCTTTCTGCCCTGCCTCTCGACAACGATTCGTTAGTTAATTGCCTGACTCGCTAACCATTCCGTCCGCCAGCTATTCTAAAGTCTTGAGCGGGTTTGGGAAGATTACGGTCATCTTCCATGCTGGTTATTATCGCAGTTATCGCGCCTTTCCACAAACTGATGCCATATTGAAGCCGCAACGGCGCTAGTAACCTTCGGCGTGAGCCACATACCTATAAGCGTCTTGTTACCATAGTAATCCTCTAAACTGCATACATCGTAATACTGGGTCCCGCCTCTGAACTGTGAGCTTTGTTATTGCTGGCAGGCGCCCTGTAAACTCCTATCGACCCTGGCAAAATGCTGATCAAGATTTGGAAGAAAGCGGAGAAATGGCGTTCCAATGGCGCTTGTATCATTTCACCAAGCTTGACGGTGGTTTATAGGATACTCTTCAGAATTTACGGGTTTTACAATATGATTGCGACTGTGAAAAGACAAAAGACAAACAAAGACACATTCAATAGTGGGTGCAGGATTACAAAAGAAATAAACGAAAATAAGGATAACCTGCGGAAATGGATTGGGAAGTCAGTGCTGAAGGGCAGTGCCCACACACAGGTGTGCCAGCATGTAGACTTGCGTGCGTTTTTTCAGGAGACGCCAAATTCACGCCGGTGTTCTTTGCCGTGTGCTGTGTGAACGTATTCTGCAGATGCATTCCTACTACTGCCCTTCCATCTATGTTACTAGAACGATTTGTCGCTTCCTACTACATCAGTGATTATGAAGCTAAGTCTCGTGTCTGGGTTGCTGGCGCTGCCATTGTTCTTTCATGTGCAGTTTCGTTATTCTATACTTCGGTGCTGATGTTCGGTAAGAATTACGTCACTATCAAGTACTGTTGTTTCTCAGGATTGTGCTGTCCCGGAACCTAATTAGAGTATGAAGACGAAAACATGAGGACGCACCGAAAAGGTTATTGCAGGATTCTTAGCTTAATATGGTGCTGTCCCGGAGCCTCATTGTAATCTGAACATGACAAAGAGGCCACTCTTCAAACGATTAGATGAACACCGCAGGGCCCTAAACAATCCAGCTTCATACCCGGATAACAGTCTCTCAAAGCACCGCACCAAAATGCATATACACGAAGGTCCTCCCGCACTCACCATTACAGTATTACACCGCTCCATAGAAAATCCGTGGAAAGAAAACTATTAGAAGCACTGGAAATAAAAAGGCTCTCTCCGGAAATGAATAGTAGGGATGAGCTACGTGACGCGCTGCAGTTGATTCACTGACTACGGTAATGATATAGGATATGAGCGAGAGAAAATCAGTCGATATCATCATGCACAAGTGCGCTCACCACCCGTATCCCTCGTATTTAAAGGGGAGCTGTCCGCACGGCGTAGCCGCGTCGCCAGCAGAACTGCCCCAGCAACGCATCGACAAATTTTGCCGAGGAAGCCGGCCGGCAGCCGCAGAAGACCAGGGTCAGACGTCCAGTTCGCGGCACACACTGCAACTGAGCAAGATCCGGGGATTCGGGTTGGCAGACGAACTAACTATAGTCATTGTCAAGATTAGCTGAGGACGGCGCTCGTAGGCCAGCACGGAATATGTCGATAAGGAAGTATCGTAGAAACAATGAAAAATTTGCAAGAATTTTTGGATTCTTTTGAGTCTTTTGAGTTTTTTGCAATAAATTTTTTGGCGCCTCTTTCACGTGTTTCATGTTGAGATTCTTAGCATTCAAAAAGGAACTCAGAAGTTACGCAAAATTATTCCCTTCTTCAAGTCTTATCGGGTGCTCAGGGCACCTTCGTCAGAGATCTGAAACAGAGCAACTAGAAAAATGAACTGTTATTCTGCTGCAGAGTGGTGTAGTGGCAAGTGGCACGCTTATAAGCGTACGATGTGGGCGTCAAACTACAAAAGGGTTTGCAAGAACTTTTGAATTCTTCAGCCTTTTGCAATGAAGCCGTCTCCCATTTTTCGGGCCAGAACAAATGATTTTTCGAAAAAAAAACTCTGGAACAAGGCGTTCATACCAGAGGAGAAACTTTTGAAGGTGGTTGCATTTTGCAGCTATTTTCCTTAACTGCGGGACGTGCCCTGATTGTGAGTCTAGTAGGCCTTTCCCTATATTATGACATTTCCCTCACTTTCCTAGAGTTATCAATTTCTCTTTTTATTCCGCTTTTGTGTCTAATGCACTCTCTCGCTTCAGGTATACTAGGTGTCGATAAAGCTGTCATTTATGCAGTGGGAATGTGTGTCGTTGCTTCTATCACATTCATCACACTATATCGGCGAGAACGACGAAGACTCGACGAATTTATCATAGGAACTCGAACTGATCGTTATCTCAGCACGAGATACCAAATAATTGAAAATTTTCGAGTTCTAAAGGCAAGTTCCTGGATTTTTTACCAGGAAAGTAAAATCGGTTAGTACAAGAACGTGAGCTATTGACAGAAGACTTGACCTCAGGTTGGACTGAAGCCTGCCCTTTGCACTTTTTAGCGCTAATGCGACGTTGAACTGTAGTTGTCATAGCGAAATTCAGTGTCAGATCACAGCTGCCTCACAGTCAGTAACTGAAATTCGAACAGGACTTACTCTTCAGCACCTACTTACTGAAAGATTATCTCTCTCGCATTCTCGTGTTAAAGTGGATTCTGGCAAAGAGCTAGTGGGCACGTGAAATACTTCCAGAGGTAGTAGCGACTCTGCTTCAATCCTTCGAAGCTCAGGAGAAAACGAAAGCGCCGTGAAATGAGCCGAAGTCGTCTTCAGCAACCTCGTGAATAGTTGGAGGAGAGTCCATCAGCGATAAATAGTTACAGCTGTCGCAAAGCATCACTACCACAACAAGCAACGCCGGCACATCCGAATGAATTCTGCAGCCAGACTCTTCTCAACCTGGGTCAAGCATCACGTCGCGGCAAATTGGGGGCTTGGTGCGACCTCCCCCCTCCCTTGAAAAGGATGTATGACCGCGCACCTTATTAGTGACCGTGAAGTGTGTGGACGTATCTGATGTGCTGATCGAGTGTAGCCGTATATGTTGTGTGTTATGCGAATTTCACCGAATGAGTATCTCAGTATCTAGGAACATTTACCAAAGCAATAGAACAAAAGCACAGATAATTGTAGTTGTCTGTGTAGTAGTTGTTGCCTGCCCGTGAAGTGAAAGTGAAGAAAGCCGTCGTAAAAGCTCCAAGTGAGACTCCCTCGTCTACCCAGAGAGAATGAATTGATGCTGAGACCAAACAGGAGTAGCGAGAGAGCACACGCACAAGTATTGCAACACATGCGGCATCTGTCATTAAGGCAGAAGTCGCCGACTTCCTGACGGAGTCACTAGGGCAACCCTACGCCGTGATATCCCTATCTTACTACTCTTTGATGGCAACTTGTACAAGGTTGTTCATTGCTGTCCACACTACATTTTCCTACACAGAGTTCAGATACTTATAAGAGGTCGCGGGCCGTTCTCCTTCAAGCTTGAAACCACATGTGATGGGTAGACAACCCTGATGCTCGGCTTTCAAGGCTCTCAATAACAAGAGCGAAAACGTTATCTAACTAAGATTTTACCAGGTTTTACGTTGTAATTGAATAATATCAAAGGAACAGTTTGGCCAACGGATTTTATCACAAGCGAAACATCATCCCACTGATCCAATGCAGCGACTGGTTTCTATTCCGTTTCTGTTAACATTTTCGCTATCGCGCTACGAAGTCATCTTCCCACTGGTATGGATATACCTACAACAGGCAGACTGACAAACCGACACACCAAGTCAGTGGTTTATAGAATTGAGTGATACTGTGGACCATGCCGTGAGTTACGGGAAGTGGGGAATGGTTGCTCAAATTTACACTGTTGAATGGTTTCTTCCAAACATTTCTTGTTCAAATAGAAATCTAAAACTAAAGCGCCCTCAAGCTGCAGTTTTCAGATGATAATGTACGCATGTCTGATCCTACAGTCTCTAGGTTTTGCTGCCCTGCATGCTTATAGTCATGGTGTTCTGGTATTTCCTACCGTCCTCATATCCCGGCCAACTATGTTTCGCGTTCGTCGAATTACTATTTTCAGTGTGAGTAATCAAATCCATAAATATTACGTGGAGATGTGGGGGTGGTCGGATTATGTCACACTACAGGCAGTCACGGTACTATTCAACTACCACCCTAAAACTGCAAGAAAATTTACTCAACCTTCGCCTAGATGGGTTATTTGATGCGCCGAGTATAATGCTAGTTTCTTGACAGTGGCGCCACTTGGCCCTACTAGACGGATAAGTGCCAGTTTGGCGCCACAACTTTTCTTACCAAAATCGGTATAAACTTGCATAGTGAGATTATTCAGTGCTCTGATCATGAAAGTGACATTCATTTTCAGCTCCATTTGGTGCTACACCATTTTTTCGCCAAGGTCGATATAAAGTTGCACAAAATGGTTAATCGTCTTGATCATGAATACAGCATCTATCGACCCAATCCCATCTAGTGCCCTGCTAAGCCTGTGCCCTGGGAGAAGGATTCAATAAGCCACTGCCATTAGGCTGCGTTTATACTTTGCGGCAGCGTAGCGTAGCGCTTCCAGCGTACGCCAGCGGCAGTGCCGGGGAGAGGATGCATATCGATCTAGCGTTCCCAGCGTCACCAGCGTAACGCTAGCGTACGCCAGCGTTTCTCCAGCGTTTCACCAGCGTTTTGCTGGCGTTTGCAGCGGCAGGGGAGTAGAGACTATGTGGCCGTAAGAGACGCGCAATCGATGTGTATTGTAGAGACTATGTGGCCGTCAGAGACGCAGAATCGATGTGTATTGTAGAGACTGAGGGCGAGTGAGAGACGCGCAATCGATGTGTTTTGTACCCTCCAGCTCTCCCATAGTCTCTACTCCCCTGCCGCTGCAAACGCTAGCAAACGCTGGTGACGCTGGGAACGCTAGATCGATATCCATCCTC